AATGGCATGGCATGGCCTCACTTGCCTGAACAGTGATGCTCATCCTGTAATGGAATTGCTTGTTTCTTCTTAAGCATGGCAGTGCCATGACTTGAACATGGGAGGGCCAGCACTCAGTGAAATAGATGTGTAGTGATGGTTGAGTCACTTCGTCTCTCTGAGCCTTAGTGTCTCTTTTGTATAATGAAAGTTAAAATAGTTTATTTTGAGGAGATTAAATAAGATAATGTATATAAAAGGGCTACAGCTGAATCTGTACTAAGGGTCCACAAATGTTCGTGAGTTTTAAAAATTGATTCCAGATTTAACTATAGATTCAACAGCTATATATATATATATATATATATATATATATATATATATAAAACAAACACTATGGTCCTACTTTCACAAATAAGCTATTATATTTATGCTATTACTTGGTGATTATATTTATATAAACTAGGACCATATTGTTTGTTTTTCACTACCTCATTTGACCATGCAAGGCAGAAAATAGTGTGAGGAAAATGTCAGCATAGATCCAGATGTTTTACGCTTTTAAATTTGAACTAAAATCTTTCATGGAGCATCTGATTCCTGTGAGGCTGTTGGAGCGAGACATCCATTTTCCCTTTAATTCTCCCTTTTCCCTGCCACCCACAATTTAGAAATATTAAGTATGTTTTGGCTCAGATTGCATTAGTCAGACTGGTGGAAGAAACAGCAAGAACCAGGAGAAATCTTTCTATTTTAGCCCTTCTCAATGTTAATACGTCCAAAATAAATGAATCTTTGAAGTTAAATGCTACAGACTAACATTTTAAAGGCCCAAAAGATATAATCTCAAGTTTTGTATCAAGAAAGGAATTTAAAATAACAACTGGTCATTTAAAAATCACAATATTTAAAGGCCAGTAAATGTGGGGGAAAATATTCAGCTGCATTAGTAATAAAAAGAATATAAAATAAAATGTTGACATACTATTTTAGCAATACAATTGGCATTTTTTTTTAATGTAACAGAAAGAAAAGAGGAGGAGCGATGTTGAATAGGGCATCTTGTACAGGCTGATGAAAGTTTAAGTAGGCATAAGTTGCTCCTTGCAAAAGCAATTTAACAGTATTTTTTAAGCGCTGTAGAGATGTTAATGCCTTTGACACAGTAATTCTACTTCCGGGAACATAGCCTAAGGAAATAATCAGGAATGCACGTAAATATAACATCAGGAACTTTGTAACAACCTAAATGCCCAACAGTGGAGGATTGATTAAATGAAGTATGAAAATATATACAATGTGCTTTTCTGCCATTAAGAACAGCAAACTACTTGGAAAAATAATGATAGGAGAAAAAAGCTTGTAAAGTAATGTAAAGTGCAAAAAACAAATTATCATGAACTTAGTATTATGAAATATAATCTGTTTATACACATATTCTGTGTGTGTGTATATGTGTGTACACACGTGTGTGTGTGACAAGTTAAAAAAAAAATCACAATAAAAGATTACCTCTAGGTGATGAGAGTGTTGGTGGTGTTTATTTTCTTCTTTGTATATTTTCCAAATACTTATGTTTATAATTAGAAAAAAATTCGTAATTTAAAAGTACATTACTTTAGAATACCTGGTACTGATACCACCACATGAAAACATAAGGAAAAAAAGTCTAATGGTAATTACAACAGAATGCCATCAGTGCTTTTGATAGAGTGGTGGGACTTGCTGGTGGTAGTGGTGGTTTTTGTTATTTTATTATTTAATTGATCTGTTAAATAATTGTACATATGTATGGGTACATAGTGATGCTTTGATACATATGGTGTATTGTGATCAGACCAGGGTAATTAACATACTCATCTAAAGCATTTATCATTTCTTTGTGTTAGGAACTTTCAATATCCTCCTTTCAGCCATTTGAAACTATATATTATTGTTAACTGTAGTCATCTTATAGTGCTATACAATAGCAGTTCTCAACTTTTTTGGCACCACGGACCGGTTTTGTGGAAGACAGTTGTATTAGTCCATTTTCACACTGCTGATAAAGACATATCTGAGACTGGGCAATTTAAAACAGAAAGAGGTTTATTTTGACTCACAGTTCCATCTGACTAGGGAGGCCTCACAATCATGGTGGAAGACAAGGAGGAGCAAGTCACATCTTATGTGGATGGTGGCAGACAAAGAGAGCTTATGCAGGGAAACTCCCCCTTATAATAGCTATCAGAGTAAGTGTGAGACTTACTCACTGTCATGAGAACAGCTCGGAACGACCTTCCCCCATGATTCAGTTACCTCCTACCGGATCCCTCCCACAACACATGGGAATTCAAGATGAGATTTGGGTGGGGACATAGCCAAACCATATCATTCTGCCCCTGGCCCCTCCCAAATCTCATGTCCTCCCATTTCAAAACCAATCATGCCTTCCCAACAGTCCCCTAAACTCTTAACTCATTTCAGCATTAACTCAAAAGTCCACAGTCCAAATCTCATCCAAGACAAGGCAAGTCCCTTCCATCTACGAGCCTGTAAAATCAAAAGCAAGTTAGTTACTTCCTAGATACAATGGGAGTACAGGCATTGAATAAATACATCCATTCCAAATGGGAGACATTGACCAAAACAAAGGAGCTACAGGCCCCATACAAGTGCAAAATCCAGCAGAGCAATCAAATCTTAAAGGTCCAAAATGATCTCCTTTGACTCCATGTCTCACATCCAGGTCATGCTGATGCAAGAGGTGTGTTCCCACGGTCTTAGACAGCTTTGCCTCTGTGGCTTTGCAGGGTATAGCCCCTCACCTGGCTGCTTTCACGGCTGGCCTTGACTGGTGGCTTGTCCAGGTGCATGGTGCAAGCTGTCGGTGGATCTACCATTCTGGGGTCTGGAGAATGATGGCTCTCTTCTCGCAGTTCCAGTAGGCACTGCCCCAGGAGGGACTCTGTGTGGGGGCTCCAACCCCACATTTCCTTTCTGCACTTCCCTAGCAGAGGTGTCCCATGAGGGCCTTGCCACTGCAGCAAACTTTTGTCTGGGCATCCAGGCATTTCCATACATCTTCTGAAATCTAGGCAAAGGTTCCCAAACCTCAATTCTTGACTTCTGTGCACCCGCAGGCTCAACACTACATGGAAGCTGCCAAGGTTTGGGGTTTCCACCCTCTGAAGCAACAGCCCAAGCTATACTTTGGCCCCTTTTGGTCAGAGCTGGAGTGGCTGCGATGCAGGGCACCAGGTCCCTAGACTGCACACAGCATGGGGACCCTGGACCAGGCCCAGGATACAATTTTCTCCTGGGCCTCTGGGCCTGTGATTGAAGGGGCTGCCATGAAGACCTTTGACATGCCCTGGAGACATTTTCGTCATTGTCTTGGGGATTAACATTCAGCTTCTCCTTACTTATGCAAGTTTCTTCAGCCAACTTGAATTTCTCCTTAGAAAATGTTTTGGGTTTTTTTTCTGTCAAATTGTCAGCCTGTAAATTTCCCAAACTTTTATGCTCTGCTTCCCTTATAAACTGAATGCCTTTAACAGCACCCAAGTTACCTCTTGAATGTTTTGCTGCTTAGAAATTTATTCCACCAGATACCTAAATCATCTCTCTCAAGTTCAAAGTTCCACAAATCTCTAGGATGGGGCAAAATGCTGCCAGTCTCTTCGCTAAAATATAACAAGTCACCTTTGCTCCAGTTCCCAACAAGTTCCTCATCTTCCACCTCAGCCTGGACTTGATTGTCCATATTGCTATCAGGCTTTTGGTCAAAGCCCTTCAACAAATCTCTAGGAAGTTCCAAACTTTCCCACATTTTCCTGTCTTCTGAGCCCTCCAGACTGCTCCAGCCTCCGCCTGTGAACCAGTTCCAAAGCCGCTTCCACATTTTTGGGTATCTTTTCAGCAGCACCCCACTCTACTGGTACTAATTTAGTCTATTAGTCTGTTTTCATGCTGCTATAAAGACATACCTGCGACTGGGCAATTTATAAAAGAAGGAGGTTTAATTGGACTTACAGTTCCATGTGGCTAGGGAGGCTTCACAATCATGGTGGAAGGCAAGGAGGAGCAAGTCACATCTTACGTTGATGACGTCAGGCAAAGAGAGCTTGTGCAGGAAAACTCCCCCTTATAATAACCATCAGATCTCATGAAACTTACTCACTATCATGTGAACAGCATGGGAAGGACCTGCCCCATGATTCAATTACCTCCTACGAGGTCCCTCCCACAACACATGGGAATTCAAGAAGAGATTTGGGTGGACACACAACCAAATCATATGAGCGGTGTTTCCACAGACCAGTGTTTGAAATGGTTCTGGGACAAATCAAGCTCATTACATTTACTGTGCACTTTATTTCTATTATTATTACATCTGTAATATATAATGAAATAATTATGCAACTCACCGTAAGGTAGATTCAGTGGGAGCCGTGAGCTTGTTTTCCTGCAACTGGACAGTCCCATCTGGGGTTGATGGGAAACAGATCAGATCATCAGGCATTAGATTCTCATAAGGAGCACACAACCTAGATCCCTTGCATGGGCAGTTGACAATAGGGCTCATGCTCTTATGAGAATCTAATGTGGGGGCTGACCTGACAGGAAGTGGAGCTCAGGCAGTAATGCCAGTGATGGGGAGTGACTGTAAATATGGATGAAGGTTCGCTCACCCGCCCGCCGCTCACCTCCTGCTGTGCATCCCAGTTCCTCACAGGTACTGGTTTGTAGCTCAGGGGTTGGGGATCCCTGCCATAGAACACTAGAACTTATTCCTCCTATAGCTATAATTTTGTTAGAGATTTGATGTTTTTAATATTTTTCTTTAATGTGCTTCTGTTGAGAATATATCTTATATTAGGAAAACAAATATAAATGTATTAAAATACTTTATAAATCTAGGTCATGTTTGAATGGAGATAGCATTTCCAGCTGTTCTCTTGTGAGTGTGATCTATCTTGAGAATGATAAAAACTGTTAATAATGGTGGCAAATTATAGACATTTTCTCTACTCCTACAGAGATTCCTGAAATTCCAGAAAGCATTTCATTCTGTAAAGCACTGCAGGTAGCTGACTTCAGCGGAAACCCACTGACTAGGTAAGCTTTCTGCTTACTTTTCTATCTATAGTAGTAAGGATATCTTTTTTGAGAGCCAAGCAAAGAACACAGTCAGGTTAACCATCTTGGAGGTACCTAGATGGCTCACTATCTTTATCACGGATGGTTGACTTTCACAGATACTTCTTTATAAATAGCCCTGTACAATGAAAGGCACACTATTCTATTGATAGAAACCTCAAAGGATGTTGTAGGGATAAGGTGCAGCACAGCGAAGTGTACAAAACAGGATGAGGAGTGCATTTCTGAAGCAATGTGAAGAGTTGTAGTAGTTTATAAACCCCCATTGATCTGTCCTGTCTTGTGGGGTAAGGCAGGTTTCTAAACTCCCAGAGAGCTTACACCAGAGTTATCCAAGGAGAAAATCATATTACAGTTATTTTTTTGTACTCCAGTAATGAAAAGTGTTTACTATCTTTTTTTTTTTTTTTTTGAGATGGAGTCTCGCTTAGTCACCCAGGCCGGAGTTGTGTGGCACCATCTCAGCTCACTGCAACCTCCGCCTCCTGGGTTCAAGTGATTCTCCTGCCTCGGCCTCCTGAGTAGCTGGGACTACAGGCGTGCACCACCACGCCCGGCTAATTTTTGTATTTTTAGTAGAGATAGGGTTTCACCATATTGGCCAGGATGATCTCAATCTCCTGACCTCCTGATCCACCCACCTCAGCCTTCCAAAGTGCTGGGATTACAGGCCCGAGCCACCTCACCTGGCCATACTATCTTTTACTGTCTTAACTTTCCTCTAACTCTCCATTAAAAACGAATGAACATCAACAACAAGAAAAACAAAAACCTCCTATGAACATCATTATTTCTTTAACAATAGCTGTGGGGATTTCTTTGTTTTTGTTTTTGTTTTTGTTTTCCTTCAAATAAAGCTACTGTGTCAGTTTTACTACTTATTCCAGCTTTACCCTTCCTCGTATGACACAGTCTGTTACCCAGGCGTGGTTGAGTGGCATTGCTGTGAGCTGTTCCTTATGGCTCCTGGCTTAGTCATGAGTCCACTGACCACTGGCTTCCAGGCATCTTGTTAGTAGGATAACTGAATTGTGCCCACGTGGCAATGCAGAGATAGCCCTTGGGTGTCTGTTTGAGGTGTCTCTTTGGGCCAGGTGGGTCCATTTATAAGATTTCTCAAGAATCTGAAAGGAACCTCAGAAGAAATGCACTCTTCCCGTCGCTTCTTTTCTGTCTTTTCTCTTTTGATCTAGGAAAATTAAGATTAAACTAAAATTTCTGAGTCATCTCACCCACTTCAAAATTGTTTGGGACTTCTTGGGTATGGAGTGCTGGAGAATGCACTATTTAGTTTTATGTTTCCAATACCTTGTTATTGCCAATAAAGAAATGTGTTTTCTTTTTAAAACTTTTTCTGATTGTCCTCCTTTGAATTGTAGTGATTAAGTTACACGTAACATTTATTACTGAAGAATAGTAATCTAGTAAGCTATACTCCAATAGCTTTCTTACTTATCACTGTCCTTCCAACCTTATCCTCTTTCTCCACCGTCTTCCATTCAGCTGTCTCTTAAAACCTTTCTATAGCGCGCATCTCTGTAAGATAAAGTCAGAGCTCCTCCCTGTGCTATGTGAGCCTCTTCTTGCCCCTCCATCTGACCCTGGTCTGTCTCTCCATCTTCATTGACCTCAGTTGCCTGTGCTGGACGTCAGTCTCTGCTGTAATATAAAGTGCTTCTAGTTAGTTCATTTCATGCCTCTGTCTTCTTGACAGTACCGACCCTTTCACCTTCCTTAAGATGCAGTTTGAGCATCATACACGTTTTCGGGAAGGCTTTCCCAGTTGCTACCCACAGGCCCCTCCTCTGGGCTCCCGTAATGCTCTCTGTGTACTTTTTTCATAACACTTGAAGTTTACCCTTAAGTTATTTCTCTGACTAAGACTCCTTGACCAACCTGAGGAAGTTACTTGTATTCTTGGAATGGAGTAAGTGCTCAATAAATGTTTGTTGAACTGGACTAAGCTGAAGGCAGCTTACAGGGTTTGGCAAGCTGGGAAATACTCATTATGTTGCTGTTGAGTTTTTTTTAACCATTCAGTTGCTTCTTCCTTTTTTCTATTTTTTTTTTGATTTTCCTTTTCTAATGTCTGCTGACATTTGACTTTACTATTATTTCAGTTCTCTCTCAACTGGAGCACACCTAGATTGTGTGAGGCTTTACTGTTTTGTTTGTTTGTTTTAATTCTGGCTTTCTATTTGGCAGGTTTCTTAAGGTGAAGCCATTTTAATTTGGCAGGTGTGCTGTTTTTTTAAGATTTAAGATGATATCTGTGAGTTGAAGGGACCTTAAAAATGATTTAGTTTGGCTTACTTATTTTATGGCTCAAGAAACTGAGGCACATGTAGGTTAAATTACCTTTCAAGATCATACAGCTAATGAGTGGGAAGCTCGGACTGCAGTTCATTTCTCCTAACCTTGGGTCTGTACTTCCTTATCACCTCTGTACTAGTTTAGCTCTTGTGTTAATAGCCAGTAAAAAAGCACCTATTTAAATCAGCTATTTAAAACTATATTTTTCTTGTGTTTAAGAACATCTTAGCTAGTTTTTAAATTATAAAATGATATATACGTTCTGGTAAAAACTCAGGCAGAACAGATAATTTGCATCTTTTGAATTATGAGTAAAAATCTTACCTCTGTTAATTGTGCCTCAGAACAAATTCCAGTGATTATAAACATTCCAGTTAATACCCTGATCTTGCGGGTCTGGATTTGGTTTTGAAGTTTGGAATTAACCTATATTAAATATCAAACATAATGTTACATAGGCCTTTTTTTAAAGGAACCTAGAAAGATAAAAATGAAAGATTCTAATCTAGAGACCATCACTAAAGCCAGAAATCTCTCCCTCACTGAGAAAAAGTGATACTTATATGTTCTGTTGTCTTTGTTAGCAGATTTATGTTTAATAACCTTCAGCATTTTAAATGCAATGAGATCCTTTGCCTTTAGTTAGGTTTTCCCTTCCCTCCCTCAATATGGTAACCATAGAAATATTGAAACTAAACTTTCTTTGTAAATTTTAAATGATGATTTTATTTTGAAGCCTTGTTATTCTGTAGAGTTTAAGGAACATATAAAAAATATCCCTTTGTGTAGAACATAGTAAAACATAAAATTATTTCAAGTGGTTGGCAACTTAGGCCGGGCGCGGTGGCTCAAGCCTGTAATCCCAGCACTTTGGGAGGCCGAGATGGGCGGATCACGAGGTCAGGAGATCGAGACCATCCTGGCTAACACGGTGAAACCCCGTCTCTACTAAAAAATACAAAAAAAAAACTAGCCGGGCGAGGTGGCGGGCGCCTGTAGTCCCGGCTACTTGGGAGGCTGAGGCAGGAGAATGGCGGGAACCCGGGAGGCGGAGCTTGCAGTGAGCTGAGATCCGGCCACAGCACTCCAGCCTGGGTGACAGAGCGAGACTCCGTCTCAAAAAAAAAAAAAAAAAAAAAAAAAAAAAAACTAAAAGAAAAATGTTAAGAAAGTAGCAATTGTCACGGTGGTTCACGCCTGTAATCCCAGCACTTTGGGAGGCTGAGGGGGGTGGATCACTAGGTCAGGAGTTTGAGACCACCAGCCTGATCAACATGGTGAAACCCTCGTCTCTGCTTAAAAATCCAAAAATCCCAGCTACTCAGGAAGCCAAGGCAGGAGACTAGCTTGAACCCGGGAAGCAGGGGTTGTAGTGAGTTGAGATCTTGCCACTGCACTCCAGCCTGGGCAACAGAGTGAGACTCTGTCTCAAAAAAAAAAAAAAAAAAAGGGAAGTAGCAATTGTCTGTCAGCGGATCAATAAGTACTCCGTAGCTTTCCCCTAGGTATTATAAACTACAGGAAGAAAAATTATGCAGTAGCTGTCCTGTGTTTTATTATAATCTCAAGGACTGATGAAATTTTCTCTTTAGTTTCCGCTAATCAATAAAGTATTTTTACTCTTAGGCACTTTTAGCTGCAGCAATAATTCATCATTTTCTTTCATAAAGTATTCAGTAGTCCCAACATTTTTTTTTGCCTTTGTTCTTAGAGCTTGCGTATCTTTCTACTTTATTTCTAGATCACCATAACAGTAAGTATTTATCATGCCCCTGTACATCTACTATGTATATGAAGTCTTTGTTTTTTCCTTACAAGTGTCTTATTTATAGGAAGACAAGGCAAACATGCCATATATAATGTCATTTTTAGGAGGTTATTTCAATTAGCACATAGAATAAATCATTATTATTTATGCTTGATATACACTATACATGAACTTTTCTTTTTTAATTTATAGCATTTTTGTTTGTTTGTTTTGTTTTAGGTTGCCAGAAAGCTTTCCTGAGTTACAGAATTTAACATGTCTTTCTGTAAATGACATCTCACTGCAGTCTCTACCTGAAAATATTGGCAAGTAAGTTTTTTTGTGAAGTTTGGGTAGATCGGGGTGAAAGGGGGTTTATATCATCAGCTCTAGCCTCCTTTCCTTTTAAAGCTCCTATTTGTCGACTCAGAAAGCCATGTACTCATTCTTTAATATGACCTTCAAGAAAGATTATAGCCAGCCTCCTATGTTTTTGCATCTAATTGTCCCTAAATTTTATTGGTTAAAAAGGGTGCTGCTACTTGTTACTAGTAAAAATCCTAAATTGTTTGGAAGTGAAACTGATGTATGGCAAAGTAGTTAATTTAAGCCACGTACTATGTGTCATGTAGGTGGTCAGTAAATACTGGTAGAAACAACCACTCAGTAATTTTAAACCATGCTGGAGAGCCAACAAACAACTCCATTAAAAACGTAAAGTATGTGCTCCTAAAGAACAGCTATGTCTGACAGTATTTGTGAACTGTGGATCCAAGAATAGGGAATGAGAATGGTGTATTTGGAGAGTGGGAGTAGAATTGGGAGAGGAAAGGAATGATATGGGCATATTCCACGTTGCCGGCTTAGAGGTTGTGGAGAACTTAGTCATGGCAAGAAATAGAATCCATTGAAGACAGTGTATGCTGGTGAATAAATGTTCTGTTATACCTTCCCACAGATGAACTAGTTGAATTGTCTTTGCAGACCTTTTTCACTTTTCCAGGGCATACAGTGGGTTAAATCAGGTTGATGCAGTAGCTCATGCTTAACCACTTAAAAATAAAGGTCTGACTTGTCTGCCCTAACCTGGTAGACCAGTGTTCTCTACCATCATAAATGATTTTCCTTGTTTGTAGCTGTCCTGTGTAAGTTCTAAGACAAAACAGAAACTTGCTCTTTGAGAACCACAGTAAGCAGTTGAGCACAGTCTATCTGATATGTCTGTTTTGCAAAAGTTCTCTTTCCGGAGGTTTATAAGAATATTTGCAGACAGCTTTTCCCTCTCCTTCCCATCCTCTTCAGGCAAATGACAACTAGCTGACACCTGTTCAGCCAGCAAGTTGGTGTTTTTCTGAAATGCACCCTGATGTTTTGTCTTTATGCCATTAGACTTGCTAATTAAAAATTGTGCCCTTAAACTCTCAGGAGGAGAAGAAGACAGGAAACCCTCAATACACTCTAGGTTTAAGGTATCAGTTGCAGAGAAAACAGTGGTATTCTATTGTGAATTTCATGCATGTGCAATTCACTTTTGCTGTATCAAGTGTCAGATATTTATAATGTAACAACTTTTGTGCCGGGCATGGTGGCTCACACCTATAATCCCAGCCTTTCGGGAGGCTGAAGTGGGAGGATTCCTTGAGCTCAGGAGTTCAAGACCAGCCTGGGCTATCTTTTGTAGAGATAACCCATCTCTACAAAAACAAACAAACAAAAAATCAGCTGGGCCTGGTGGCATAAGCCTGTAGTCCCAGCTACTTGGAAGGTTGAGGAGGAAGGATCACTTGAGCCCAGAAGGTTGAGGCTGCAGTGAGCTGTGATTGTGCCACTAAATTCCAGCCTGGGTGACAGAGCGACACCCCAACCCCCTTTTTGCCCCCCCACCACACAAAATTCTTAAATACAGTAGCTGTTTAAACACCCAAACTGATGCTGTCCTCCTCTTGCTCCTCAGGATATCTGGAGCTTAATTCCCTTGTTACCTTCCTTTCAGTTCATTCTTAGTCTACAGCTGCCTAGATGGTTCTTCTTTCTAGCCTCCGATTCCTACCTCTCTGCTTTTTTCCCATTTTATGTCTTTTTTAAAAAGTCTTAATGCTTTGATATGAAATATGTTATTAAACCAGAGTGTCCCTCTCCCCCTCTACTGAACTATTTTAATGGAAAGTATAATTTTAGAATATGTTTTTTACAATGTTCATTATTATATATTTTCTGTTAATATCCGTACCTGTTTTTGTCAAAGTTCAAGACGTTTTTGTTTTGTTTGTAGACTTAATCAGCTTCTGTTACCATTATAGCATTGTGGATACTGATTGTTTACTGAATAAAATGCCACTTTGATCTTGAAATTAACTGATTCTTATTAGGTCAGTTTGTGAAATTAAATGAAAAAGAGAGAGAGTTTTCTATTCTTGGTTGTTAGTAATTTTATTACCAGAGCAAGAAACTATGATTTCTTCCTCATGCATACTCAAGTAATGGCCTGTTCTCACATACCAGAAAGAAACAATCAAAGAACAAATTCTTCCTTGGAGAAGATTGGGCACACCTGGTGTCCAAGACCTTGTAGAAAAGGCACTTGAAACAGTGAATTGTTCAGGAAATCTCATATATGCATAAGTGTACTACATTTTAAGCAAATTATTATTTGAAACTTGCAAGCTTTCCTCGTGGGAAGGCTTCATTTGTTTCTCAAAGAATTTCCAAATAGTTTCTTTAGAGCATTTAACACATTTAGTTAACCAATATTTAGTAACCAGTACAACTTCTCGGAGATAGAATTGTTTTGTGTGGAAACATACCTGTTTAATATTCCACAAAATTTGAAAGGACATGGAATGACCATTGGAATGCTTGGTGTGTTATCTTTGTGGAGTCTGATGTGGAATCTTTGCATAAATTACCTCTGCTTATGTGGTCAGATGGGTAAACTACGTTAGCATTGGCCTTTCAAGCATCAGTGAAGATAGGACTTCATTTCTCCTCTTGGCACCTAGCACAGTAGTTGGCATTAACTGGGAAAGCTATGGATGTCTCAAGGACTTGGGCCCCCTCAGGATGGTCAGGGGTACTCAGACTAAGAGGGGAGGGCAAAAGTCTTTATATAGATAGAGTGAGCAGACTTGTAGTGTCTTGAACCTGGGGGCACCTGGACACATCTCCCCCATCACATGTTTGGTTTGCCTATGGTCAGTTAATTTGAAGAAGTTTTTAGGAGTTGATGGCAGAGCTGGAACTGGACTACGGCTCTCCAGGTCCCGGTCCTGTGTTTTTTCACTACTCCACCCTGCCATTGCCGCAGGACAGTTGGTTCCTGGGGCCCTTGTGGGCTCAGTAACTTTCTTTTAATACTCCTGGAAATATCTAACAGTTCATTAAGTAGGTCCAAACATCTTAATAAGTGTTTATGTCCTAATAACCTGGTAGCTGTTTGAAAAAAGTTATACATATGAGTGGAAAGAATACATATTTTTATTTCATTCTTAAATATTCCCAATTATTCACAGTGAGTCCTCATGTAACATCATCCATAGGTTCTTGAACACTGTGACATCAAGTGAAACAAAGTATTATGAAGCCGAGTTTACCACAGGCTAATTGATATAAACAAGAGTTAAGTTACAGGGGACTATTTCTGATCAGAAAAACATCATCAAACTTCCAAGCAAAAACCCAAAACACTTCTAATATTAAACACTGACATAAATATGAGCTATACATACATTTAAGAAAGGGTAATAAAAAGAGGTATAATTATTTACCTAATTTTTGGAGAACCTGTAAGGGATGGCAGTTATAATGGTGGTGGATTAAGTCAAGGAATAAATGTTTGCAAAGCAAAAATTTTAAGGAGCACTTCCTATGGTGCAGTTCAAAGACATGAATAGGGTAGGCTCGCTGATTATTTTTGTACTGCATCATTTATTTTTGTGCATTTGTATGATTTTCATACACTTTGTTAATTTTTATTTTACAGTAATTTGTATTCATTCATTCATTTTGCTTCCTGCTTATTCCAGTTCAGGTGAATGTTAAAATTTTTTACCTGCCTTGTCTGTTTCCAAACTGGCTGGGGTGTTTCATTTAATGATTGAAATGTTACATCTTTCATCATGCCTTCCCCAATGATTGACAGGCGAAATAGATCCCAGACTTGCAGGTTCCCTGACCCCGTCATACCTCCCACACAATAAGTACTTTAGTCCTTTGTCTTTACACAGAAGTGTAGTTGTTCATTGCTTAATTGTATGTATATAACTGGTACATGTACTTGGATCACCTTGTACTCTGATACTACAGGGACCTTGGTTTTCTAACTCTGTTTGTGTCTGTATCTACCCTGGCATTGTTCTCACATACTAAACAAATACACGTGACAAGGTTAAGAGTATTGCCTCCTTTATTCCACTTGCTTCCAACATCACATCATAGGCAGTCAAGTTCAGATTCTGGAAGATTTATGCTGGGATCACTTTAGCCTGTTCCTGTATTGTCACTTTTTTGGCCTGATGCAGTTGTACTCAATTTCTAGAAAAAGTTGTTTAAAAGAAGCAACTATTTAAAAAACAGCTTCTGTTGCTGTAAAGCCTTCCAAGAAAAAATAATTATTGTCTATTAATATTGCTTAATATCTCTGATATAAGGAGCTATTAGGGAGACAATAAATTATTTTTAAGGAAACAAATGCCTTACCAAAAGAACTGGTAAGCTTCTTCCTTTTTAATAATATTCCTTTTTAATAAACATTTCTAACACTTATTTTCCTGCCTTTGTTGCCCGTAGGCTTAGAGCTAATTCTGATAATCAGTGAGAACAGCTGTGTTCCTTTTTGTGCGATAAAGGGAGAGGTGATGCTGACAGTCTCAGTGGGGCACGGACTCTTTGAGGTGCATACACTGTCTCATGACACCCTTCCTCCTGAGGCTAGCTTTACCCATCCTGAGCTTTATCAGCTTCCTCTGTGAAATGGAGATAAGTGATCTGCCCAGGTGTGCATTGCTGGTGGGTGGTAGAGCTGGCATTTGAATTTAGTTTCTTCCTTGAAGATACTGCATTTTCTTTACTGCCTGCTTCTCATAATGAACACATTAGTGTCTCCCCTCTTTCATGGCCCTAACGTCGTTTCATGAACCTTTTTGCATATTTGCAATTTTAAAAGACTTACTTAAATCCCCTTTAGAAAAAGTTGGGGTATAATTAAGTGAATGACTTTCTGTGTCACTGCAGATGCTGGTTGGCACGGGATAGCACGTAGTGGGGTCTTACTCAGTCAAGTTCCAGGTCTTGGATGGGCTTTCAGAAAACTATCTGAATAAAAAAATTTGGTA